TCTGCTATAACCTTAACTTTGGATTAACCTACACATAAAAAAATAGACAAAGAAAACAAATATAAAGAAAACTATGTTCATTTGAAAAGAAAAAACAAACTAAAGGAATCTCAAGGGAAAAGAGATGAAAAGAGTTTTTGTTTCCAAACATAACCTCGATGAACTAATCCCATACCCCAAGCTGGTTTGGATGAACTGCTCTGATATCAAATTGTAACATCTTTATCTCAAAATTTCGTATAATGTATATTATATACTTTATAAATTGATATAAAATATAAAATTTGTATAACTATTTCCATTCTTATTAATCAAATTGGTACGACAATAATTTTAAATGTTATATTGAATATAATCAAAATTCATAAGTTAAGAAACTAAACGTGCACTCTATAGATCAGGTATAATAATTTATAAATTATTTGTTAAAATATATGGGACTTAAAATAATATTTACATCACCAAAATAAATACAAGTCTCAGAGCAGTCCCAACATAGCCCAACACTAAAGATCAGTACTAGTCATCAACCTCATGCTAGCTTCTATCTCAGGTAAATCTTCTGAATCCAAATCCTCGTCTGATCCCAGGTAGTGATTGCCTAAATCAGCTCTGGCCAGTGACACGCTCAAATGTCCATCTGAACAGTCTTCCTAGATAGTCATGGTCATAATAGATGAAAAGATAGGTGAGGGCTGCCGGAGTTCTAACCGTACCTCTATACATATATACACACAAAGTCTGGTGTATTCTACTCTTAGGAAAGTCAAAAGGGATACTACAAGAGAAATTCATCTCTATCATAACAAAAATCCTAGGTTCATCTTCTACAAGAACAACAAATTTAAAATAACATACTCTTTGATATTCATTAAATACATAATTTAACCTAAAATGTACAGATCTATCTATTAGTCTAATTCTTTCCTAAGGCTCTGTCATTCTGATTTTCTGAAAATTTTAGTAAGGATGAGCATTTATTCTATCCTTTACAAATATTTAGCATAAAATCATAATTTTAATATAAATACAACACATTCAATTTCATAAATTTATATTACACACATATCCACATCACACATAACATTTAACAATTTATTATCCATTTTCCTTTCTCTTATTCCAACATGCACTTCTAATGCACTGTGATCACATATATCAATGCCTCCAGCACTTCTCGATGTCTTACTTAACTAGGTAAATAGTTGTTGGTTAGCTCATGCACACAAATACATGTATAATAATCGAGTCCCTTAGCAAAGGCATAGTCAGGAGCCTAGTTAGGAAACAAGTGTGAGGCTATGTGACGCATTCGCTCTCAGAAAAAGTGTGTACACATACGCGAATGTCGCTCATTACCCTACATTTCTCCCAGATTTTTATCGTCTCCAGACTCTATACCCCAGTGTATCTCTGTAACTATTGACACTAGATACAATCCATGTCTGAGTCTTAGGTCATTCCCAAAGTTATTCTCCTTCTCATTCATAAGATCGTGCTTAGTGAAGTACTTCCATACTAATTCCATTTCACTCATACACTTATTGTTACAATCATAACTGTTAACTCTTTTTTTATCAATATCATTTTACCTAAACATATTTCACATAAATTCTCATAATAATCATTCAGCAAATTTTATAATATTTCACATTAAATAATTATCACATAATATATATGAACATGTACCAAGCACTTAGTCTAAACAACCAAACAGTCCAACTCATCAAACAAACATTTTTTTATCCATTATTCATATAAAAGATATCTCAACAATCTATTCTCATACCATATTCACATAACAGTGCTCTATGAGCATAAAATAAATATTGTAATATAATGATAAAATAGAGTTCTCTTTACCTCGAAGATGACCTCACGGAGAGATATTAAAAAGGATCAAAGTTCACGGATAGAAGTTATCCTGAGAATCAAGAGATATCCATAAGAACAAAAACATGAAAAATGATCGGAGAAACTCAAGTTTAATCCGAAGAAACTTACTTGGAGTCGCTTAACTTCAACGTCCAAGTTTGACTTTGAAAAGAAATCGGAGTTTCTATAGCTTTAATCTAGGTAAAAAAAAAAAAAAAAAAGAGTTCAGAGAAAACTTGAGAGAGGAACGTGAGTTTGAAATAGAATGAATTTCTCATGCGAGAAATCTCTTAAATACCCCTCAACCATGCGTGTTCTTGCTTAAGCGAGGAATAGCTCGCTTAAGCAACGAAATCTCGCTTGAGCGACGGCTCTGTCGCCTGAGCGAGATATGCAAACAGTGGTCTCGCCCACTATTTTCTAATATGCTCGCTTGAGCGAGATGGTGTCCAGAGAGAATGCTACTTTTCCTGTGGGTCCTTGCCTGAGCGACTCATATCGCCTGAGTGAGATCCATATCTCGTCTGAGCGAAATCACTCTCGCCTGGGCGAGGTGACAGTTGGGCTGAATTTATCTCATCTCGCTTGAGCGAGAATCATCTCGCTTGAGCGAGAATCATCTCGCTTAAGCGCGATAGCTCTGCAACTTTGTATTCTTGCACGCTTAATCTTGCTTGGGTGAGATTTACCTCGCCTAAGCGAGATCCTCGCCTAAGCGAGATCTCCTGCACCAAAGTCCTTACAAAAATACTCTATACTCCCTTTTAAATTCACTATAATGCTACTTAATATTAAATAAAACATAATTATCGAAAAATGAGAAGAGGGTAAACACCAAGTATGATGATGCTATTTGAAATTGTTATGTTGTGAGATATTGTTTTTATGTTAATAATATTTAGGATGACCATTTTATTTTGCCTGACTAATAAATTCTTTTTTTTAGTTTTAACTTTTTGGATTATTTGTCTTATAATCTACAGGACCAATATTAAAATAATTTTCTAGAATAGACTATTTAATATTCTTATTTGGTACTTATGGAAAGATATAATTTTATTTTCAGTTTTCAATAGTTTTCTATTTGGCTTAATTTCTTATTCAAATTATTCTTTTATATGCTTGAGTATTTTGGATCATGTTTCAGGAGTAACTCTAAGGTTTTCTCTAGAGACGTGTTACACGTCAAATGGTTTCTTGGTTAACTCAAGTTGAATGTGGATGATTCCTCTTCCTCAGCCACTAAAACTCCGGCTTGTGGAAAATTGGTTCGTGATGATCAAGACTAATTTATTACTAGTATTATGAGTAAATTAGATCTTTATCTTTCTTTGGAGACTAAACTATAAAGTATTTATTTTGAACTTGAATTGGTTATTCATAAGGTATTTGTAATATTTAGATTGAGAATAACTCTTAGGATCCATTCTCTTTATTATGAATATTCAAGATAGTTTTCGTCCTCTTTTCGTTTGATTAACTATATTAGGAATACTCTAAAGTCAATTCAATGTGTAAAATTTGTCCACGGTTGTATAGGGAGGCAAATCAATGTGGCCATAAGTCACTAGAATAGGCCTTGAGGATTTCGTGCCATATACTATTCTAGACTTGGCTTCCTTTCATTGTACTCCCATTTGAGTTTAGATTTCTAGCTCTTGGCATTTGGATTTTTAGTTTTCCTTTTTTATTAAGCGTCATATATTATTAAAAAAAAAAAAATGGCAAGAATTGGAATTAGAAAAGCAAAATTGTAAATATGAAATGCCCATTTTATAATATCATTCCAGCAAGCTGTCTTAATGCGACTTGTTTCTAACATTATTTTTATAAAGATATATTTTAAAAAAATATATCTAGGCTTTTTATTGCTTATGTCGTAGTTAGAAAGTAAAACTTCTTAAGACTATTTGAAAATAAGTAAGTCATAAGCATGAAATACTTTTCAAAGTAGCTTCTTCCTGTTGCCCAAAAGTAGATAAGTAATGGTGCCACTTACCTTTTTCTTTTAACCTGATGGGGGTGACAAAAATACTTTTCAATGAAGCTTCTTCCTGTTGGCTGAAAAAGAATGAAATATCTCACTTCTTAAAAAACCATTTATATATTTTACTTTTTATCAACAATACATTTTATTCTTTAGAAGTAGTTATTCTTGTTCGTTATCATTTTTCAAAAGTTATTTATATATTTCATAATAATTGTTTGGCATTTTTCATTCAAATCAATATAAATGAAATATGTATACATTATTTGATATATTACAATTTCTAATTAAATCTTGAGTTATAGTATGTTAATGAAGAATATAAAAAATTTAATATGAATACTTGACATACATGTAGGCAAGTATACAAAACTTGACAGGTGAATAAGGAATTGAGGATATTTTATCAATAAAAACACAAGTGAAAGATTAAGATAGTTTTAATTAATATCAATTTATAAGAGTGACTTCATGTAATTAAGAGGGGAAAATTATATTATACGTCAAAAACATATAAAAACATAATAGATATTTCATTTTCTAATAATATATTACAATTTTCAGTTACTTAAATTAATGGTAACATTTTTTCGAAAAGTTAACATGATTCTTATTTAAACATTTTCACGGATTCCTTGAAATTACCATAAATTAGCCTTCACTAATTTCTCAATGTGCTATTGAATTTTTTAATCTTGGCATCCCAATGAAGACTTTTATTCTAACGGTACAAACTGTGTTGGTTCTGAGTTGAGCACTTGAATTTAGACAGATTCAGCCTCGTGATTTATGGAAAATTTTAAATCTACGTAAACCAAAATTTCGAACTGGCCAACAGACACCAATTTTAAAAGCTACGGTTAATTCGGGTTCCGATAGGTTACAGATTTATCACCCAAAATCTGTCAATTTAGATACCAAAGGATTTAAAGCAATCACAAAATCAGTAACACAAATAAACGATCGTCGTCCATCATTTGGTATTGGGTAGGAGGATTTGCCACATCGACCATCTCCAAACACGGTGGTATTAAAAACTAGCAACATGCTTCTTGACTATGTCTTTTAATTGTTCAAGTCATGGAGCGAAGGCTTTGCATATTATGTTATGAGCTAATTTCTAGTGCATAAAAGTTAGGTTTAAAGATCAGTATTAATCCCAGCATATAGTTCTTGCTAAGCTTAGGTTTTTAAAGCAAGAGGAAAGAATAAATGAGAAGATACGGAGAGTGTTAAGCAATGCTAGCTTCTAAAATCTAAATGACAATGTCTAAGCCTGACTAACATTTATACATCTCAACAAGTCAGGGCAACAAAAAGAAGAAAGAGCATATAAAATGTAAAATGGAATATGGCTACTAGGATGAATATTGGAAGCAAACTGCCCATAAACCTTGTGGTTGCATAAAGAGAGAAAACAGTTGAAGTTTAGACTACTTACTCACCAATCATGTTTGCAGTTGCAAGCCGTCATATTGTGTAGTGTAAACAGAAATATAAAAAGACCCATTTATCATGAAAAAACATTGATCCAAATTCATTTCAAACTTTTTTCTTTCCAAAAACAATTATGAATTATGCTCAGACGAACTCAGTCTACAAGCAAGAAACACGACACTTCTTTCCAACAAAGGAGAACCTAAAGACAATGCTCCAAGCATGCTGTGACACTATGTTATTGAGCCCTGAAATGAAGAAGAAAATGTGTTAGTGGGTTTGGCAATGGCAAAATACTTTCGGGTCATGACAGCTGAACATTAGAGGCCCTTAACGCCTTAGCATATTGCATCCTGGTGAACGGTGATGCGCTAAAGGAACATGTGCTGTTGTACATCAAAATCTAGAAACAACAGCTTTTGAATTTTCATGGTTCCGTTTATTTTCTTTTTTTAATCAGGAGAGGCAGAAGGGGAAAACATTAGCCTCGGAAAGTAACAGCTATTTAATGCCAATAATTTAAAGTGGAAATGGCACACAGCAAGAAGTTTATGCCTTTACTTATAACCAAAATAACTTAATATAGCTGAGGACAGTGTTAGCCAATGCTTCCCAGATAAATTTCATAATCAACTGGGTATTATTTCAGAAGAAAAAAAAGTTTTGAATCAACTTCACTGAGTCACTGACAGTTGCTTAACTAAACATGAAGAGATATTGTCAACAGTAAAAGCAGGCACAAGATTGAGTTCAGATGTCTGGGAATGACTAGGCGCGGGTGTGTATGCAACAGTGTGTCTATTTGTGCAGACAAATTAGCTGTCACAGCTTGGTTTTGAAAGGCTAAAAGCTCCTAAGGACATTATATGGATACTTTAAAGCATGAACACTAATGATTTGTTGTAGGTGCATAGGCCTAAAAGTAAAAACAGAAAACGATTTACGGTAAACGATGGACTTACATAATAAATTTGTCGATAAAACTAATTGGGATATGCTGAAAACAAGTAGCTTATTGAAATAAGCTCTTCCAAACGGAGCGTTATTCAAACTAAACAAACCTTAAAATACTGAAGCACTGATTTGAGAGGTTCCTAAACGCAACAAACAAAGGGAAGAATTACCATGATCAACGAGAGGCATTAAGAGCCATGAGCAAGTTCTGTCCACCGGGCAAGTAAGCGACGTTCGGCGACTTCGCCAACGTGGCAGCCACTTCCCTGGACGCCTCGATCCTCCTCAGCTCAATCAGCCCCATCCCAGCCGACGCAGTAGCATCCGAAATCAGCTTCGCAGCGTCGCTCTCTCCCTCGGCGCGGATAATAGCGGCGCGCCGCTCCTGCTCCGCCTTCATCACAACAAACTTCGACCTCTCCGCCTCCTGCTGCGCCACCTGCTTCTGCTCCACGGCGCGCGAGAACTCGCCGCCATAAGAGAGGTGAGTGATGGCGACATCATCGAGAACAATGTTGAAATCTTTGGCTCTGCGCACGAGGCTCTCGCGGACAAGGGCAGAGACGTGAGGACGGTCGGTAAGGAGCTGATCGGCGTTGAATTGAGCAACGACGGCTTTCAGGACTTCGTTGCCGATGGAGGGAAGAACCTTTTCGTCGTATTCGAGACCAAGATTTTGGACGATGACGGGGAGTTTGTGAGTGTCGGGGCGGGAGAGGAGGCGGAGGGTGAGGTTCACCATTTGGAGGTCTTTGGTGCCGGAGACGGAGGAGAAGGTGTGGGGGCGAGTGCGAATGTCGAAGATGTAGGGTTTTTGGACCCATGGGATCAGGAAGTGGGTTCCTTCGCCGACTGTTTCGTCAAGGATGCCGCGGAAACGGTCGAAGAGGACGGCGCGTTGGCCTCCGTCTACGGTGTAGAGGGAGGAGTTGAGGACTGTGGCGGCGGCGCCTAGGCCGAAGGCGGCGCGTGCAAGGTTGGTGAGGAAAGACACCGCGGCTTGGCTGCTACCCATTTTGTAGACGGTGGGGAATTTGGGGTTTAGGGTTGAAGGAAAGGAAATGATGAGATGCAGGGTTTTTGGTTCCCTTTGGGGTTTTGGGTTAAAAAGGTGTTAAGGGTTCCTTGGCTTGGAGGAGGGGGCAATATTTTTTAGAATTGAGGTGCTGTAATTTTTGTTTATTTAGTTTAAAGCTGAGTAAAAATAGTTTTAGTTTATGAAATAAGATTCAGACATGTGTATCAATTTCTTTATATTATATATTTTTTATTTAAGATTGTGTTTTTAATTTCTGAGCTTATAGTAGCAACGTCTTTCACTTGGAGGCCATTACTAACTTTGGTACAAGGAAACTTGCAAATAAAGTTTTTAATTTGACAATGAAATTACACCAGTCCAATAAACTTTAGTTTGCATGTTTTCATATTCCTTTTTCTGTTATAAGCATTGCTTTTTAAAAGATTCTATTATTACAATATATATATGTATTCTAGCCAAACCTAATAATAATAGGTTTCAAGCTAGGTGAGAACTTCCCCCATTCTTTTTGTAATTGAAGAGAAAAGCTTAAATGTATTTTTTATGAAATTTAGAGTTGATTAATTAAATATGATAGAGTAGAAACTTATATAAAAATAAGATATGATAAAGAAAAATATAAACTTGTATTTTATTTTATATTTAATGTACATTAGGATGGTCTCAAATAATGATTAATGATAAATCAAAAATTTATTTGAATGTTAAGTTTTATTTAATACTTTTACAATTTTTTATGAATGTTAACAACTGATTTTGTTTTAACTACAAATATTAGGTTCTCTAATATATTATTTTTATGAGAATGTTGTTATTTAGTCACACTTTTTACTCTAATTAACATGAGAGTTTTTTTATTAAAAAGATTGCAACTTACCGACAAAATAAGAAATTAAGTAACAGAAAATATCATAAAGAAAAATTAAATCATGAATAATCTCATGAAATAGAAAAATATAATATCAAAAAGATTTTCTATACATAACCAAAGAAGGTGTGGCATTGTACAGCAGCAAGTATAATTGTAGAAAATTTTGGGTGCCTTATAATCATAAATATAATCCTTAATTGTGATTTTCTATAATGGGCATGCATGAGATATTGGCTACATAGGAACAAGTTTAATGGGCCACAAAATATTTTCATAAATTACACCTCAAATCAATTATGTATAAACTTAGTCTAGAGCACATAAAAGACGATACATATCTTGTCTTCACATTTATGATAGTTTAGTAACAAGAGTTAACAAAATACATGTATCATATACAAGTTTTAAACTCTATGCTTAGAAAATTCTCACATCTCTCTCCCAATTTTGAGTCCTCTTCCCTCAATTGCAAAAAATAATAAAAACACAATATACAAACTAGAAGAATTGCTTATAAAAAACATAAACAATAGGAATCAAGTGATCTCACTCACAAAATAGATTGGTCTATAAGTTGTTGATAAAAAAAAACACTTAAAAATTAGAAATAACATGAATAATAAAATATAAAATTGTAATTATTTAAAAATTGAGAATTTACAATACTCATTTGATTACAAATAGATATCCCAATGAATAAAAATAAAAATAAATAAGATAAAAATAAAATAATAATTACACATAAGACAAATATTCAAAAAAAAATAATATATCTTTGATGAGTCTAATGAGAAGGAGCTTAATGAAGTCTAGAGAAAAAAGTTTTCATGGTATTATAATTTTTAGTTGATATAAAGATGATGTATTTACAAAGACATTTCAACATTCAAGTTAATATTTATATTACGAAAATAACAAGGAGAATAAATCTTATACATTATTAAGTGATATATTGATGCACAATCAAAGTATATAACTGAGGCCACATTGTATACCACGTAACATAATTATAGAAATTTTTGGATGCCTTATGATTATAAGTCTAACCAAGTATAAGTCTAACCCTTGGTTGTGATTTCCTACAAACAGTGTGTATGAGATATTGGCTATATAAAAATATCTCATACTATATATGAAATTAATGGGACACAGAGTATTTTAGGCCTTCATAAATTGCACCCCAAATCAACTATATATGAACTTAATTTAGAGCACATGAAAGACAATACACATCACATTAATGATAACTTAGTATTTAGAGCCAATAAGATATATGTATAATATACAAGTTTTGTACTTTATGTCTAGAAAATTCTCACATTCCTCTCTCCCAATTTTGAGCTCCCCTCCTTCAATGACTATATATATATATATATATACACACTAGATGAATTGTTTATAAGAAACATAATAGGAGTCAAGTGATGTAACTCATAAAATTAGACTAGTTTATAAATATTGTTAATATAAAAAAAACACTTAAAAATTAATAATAACGTGAATAATAAAACATAAAATTGTAATTAGCTAAAAATCAATAACTTTAATTTACAATATATACTCACTCCATTACATATAAATATTACAATGAACAAAAATAAATAAAAAAATAATTACACATAAAATAAATGTTAAAAAATAATATAAAGAAATGATTGTTTTTTAGCCTCAACCAGCTAATTAAGAATCTACTTCTCTTAAAATTGAGAACCATTTATATTCTTTGGCTTTAAGAAACATAAATGCTAAACATCCTAAAAAGTGGGTTTCATAGCGGAAAAAATTGGATAGACAAATAAGTATGAACTCAAATATTTTGAACGAAAACATGATTTCACACATACTTTTTAGAGTTATAATAATAATAATAATAATAATACAATAAAAGAATCTATGAAGGTGTTTAGTATCTGAAATGTTTTAACTTTTTCAAAAAAATTATTTAAAAAGTTTCCTTATCTATGTTTGATATAAGATATAAAAAAATATTCTAAAAAATGTGAGATTTCTGAAAAACTTAAATTGTGAACAAATTAAAATTTTTTATTTTCTCACCTTAACAGGCGAGTACCTTCAACTTTCTCAAGAATCTAAAATTTTTGGATAAAAATATCTTCTTTTACCTTACTTCACTTTACTAATTTCAAATCATTTTTTTACTCTCTCTTCTCTCTACATTACTAGTTTCTCTCATACTCTCTCCTCCATAGCTACTCTGTGCCTTTGTGTTTAAAATTACTTTTTTTTATCATTGTACTATAACGCAATGGTTTAATATTTAACGTAACAATAGTATGGAAGTATTATAGTATATCTTTACTTATTAAATCTTCACGTTATATCAGTTCAAATCCATATGTTTTTATATTTATATTTATTTTTAAATTTTTAAAATATTATAATCTAATAATTTTGTTATTATTTATATTATTAATTTTAATTTTGATAAGTTTTAATTTAAACTTTCATCAACAACTCCAGTTATTAAAAATAATTTAAAAGTCATAATAAATATTTTATAAACTTCTATAAAATATAATATAATTAATAAATATTACTTAAACTTCTTAAAAAATTACCAATTTAATACAATGGTACGGTGCATACAGCAAATTGATTTTACCTTAAAAATTAAATTTATAAATGTATTAAAAACCAGTTTTGTCTTAAAAATTAAATTTAAAACTAATTTAACATAAAAGTCAATTTAAAATTATTTCAACAAAAAATTATATTTTAAAATTAATTTTAAACTAAATTCAAATTTTAAAATTATTTTTAAACTGATTAAAAAATAAAATAGTTTAAAATTCAATTCTGACTTTATTTTATGACTAATATTTTTATTAATCTTAATTCATATAATTAAAATCAAATATTTAAAATAATATTTTTAAAATATAACTATTATATTAAAAATATAAAAATATAAAAAATATTTTTAAAATAATTACTATTATTATTTTTATATTTATGTTTTTTTTAATATTTAAAATATTATATCATAATAATTTTATTATTATTTATATTATTAATTTTAATTTTTATAAGTTTTAATATAAACTTTCATCAGCAACTCTGTTTATTAAAAATAAGTTAAAAATGATAATGAATACTTTATAAAATTTTATAAAATGTAATATAATTAATAAATATTACTAAAACACACTAATTTAATATAATAGTGCATACAAAAAATTGGTTTTACCTTAAAAACTAAATTTAAAAATGTATTGAAAACTAGTTTTGTATTAAAAATTAAATTTAAAACTAATTTAACGTAAAAGTAAATTTAAAATTAATTTCAACAAAAAAACTAAATTTAAAACTGATTTTAAACTAAATTTAAATTTTAAAATTACTTGTAAACTGACTAAAAAAATAAAATAGTTTAAAATTTAATCCATAAAATTAGTTTATTTAATAGATAGACAATGAAAAGTAGAATATGTGCAAATATTTATTAATTTAATACAATATAAAAATAAGAAAATTATATTAATAGATTAAAATATATGCAAATATAATTTTATATTAGTTATCATAGAATTTGAATATATGCAAAGCTTTATATAACTTATATTTAAGTTAAGGGTATTTTTATAAAAGTAATAACATTTTCGGGTAAGTTTTTCTTTATACTAAACGTGAAAATGAGAAAAATAAAAAGATTTCTAAGAATGTTACTAAGTAAACAAACATGGATAACAAGTTATCTAAGAAACACATTCACGGGAAACATATTCTCAAGAATCTCATTTAAAAAATTTGGGATACCAAACACTCCATAAGAATCTCAAACAAATGATAAATAAAAAAAAATATATTACACCATTTCTATGATATATACATTTATTAAATATGTAATATTTCATTTTTATATTATTAGTTATTTAGAATGTCTTAATATTTTATCAAATAATTTTTTTTTTATATTTCACTACATTTTAGTAAATAAATAACTATAAGTTACTAAAAAATAATTAAGATTTTTGTTTAGAATTTAAATATTTTTTATGATATTAAATAATTTGTTAAAATAAAATAAAAATAGTTATTTTATTTGCTTATAAATCAAAACATTTTTTTATGAATTTTAATAAATTAATATCTTAAAATTTTAGGAGACTAAAGTAATGTATACAATAAATCTTTGAAGGACTTAA